ACGTTTTGGTAACGGTACGGTTCACTTGGAACCTCAACCGAGGTGGTACTAAAAAAGGTACCAGGTACTGTACCCAGTGGAAAACCCCCCAAAAGTGAAACGTACCGAGCCGTACCGTGCCGTTCCATGCAGTGGAAAAGCGCCATATGATATTTTGGTCCCTAGATGTGGCTCAGGCCACTCGGGTTGAAAATTGTATTAATTTTGTATTATTTTGCCTGTTTTATTGTTTGCCAGGTCAAAATGATAAGTCAGATTAGTTAAAAGTAAGATCAGCTTTTAATACTTAGGTTTGATGGTTTAAACAAAAACCCTAACCTTAAGTATAACCAATATAATCAGCAAATAGCAATGCATTTATGCAGTTTCTTAACTTAATATAGCAAATACCTGATGGAAAACAAAACAATTTAACTAAATTATTTCTGTCTAATCTGTCTTCGTTCAGCTCTGCTAAGACTCAGAAATTGCATGACCAAAAAACATTTGCTACATTTTAGAGGAAGGCTGAATTTGAGACACCTCATTATCAGTTAAAAGCATTAAATTCACTCACAGACCAGTGTAGACATTCACATCTAGCTAAGAGTTCGGTCACATGTTTTCCCTTAAGGGCCGTTTCCTTTTCCCTGGGCTAGAGGTGAAGAGGTCACATAAGCAGTGTTAATGGCTACCTAACATCTGACATGTGGGCATGTCCAAGGAATAAAATGTATTAGCTTATCAGACCAAAAAGAAAGAGATCTGTGTGAAATAAGAGGGGGTAAAAGAGGGTGGGAACTGCAATGGCAATGGAAACCGATGTGTCTTTGTCATGAATGAGAGAGCATGGCATGAATGCGGCTCATTACAACCCCAACAATGACCATGAGCATGCACATTCAGATGAGGACCGGCAATCAGACCAACAAAGACACGGCCGTAAAGCCACAAAGCACAGACAAGAGAGCTGTATTCTGTGTGATGTATTTGAATTGCAAGTTGCAAATTAACAGGAAGAGCGGTATGTGGGAGGAAAAGAGAGATAGAAAAGGAGGACAGAAACAGAGAAGAAAGAGCGTGAGATATGAGAAGCTGATGCCATCTGAAGAGGCTGGCTGTATATTTGAGCATGGTATAATCTAACACTGCCAACTGTGACTGTGGGATAAATTATCACAGAGAATGAAAAGATAAACTGAGTGATCTGGCAGTGAGGAGTAAGTCTCCAAAAGCGCATTGTCATTACAATACTAAGAGGCACGTAATTTAACAATATAATATGTTGCTCATCTCAAACATTTCATAAGAGAATACTGGCGGGGATACAGATTTAAAAGAAGTTAAATAATCCTCTAAAAGTGAACCGAAACTTCATTCTCACGCACAAACGGTTCTTGGCTTCTTCAACATTTCTAACAAACACCTCATAAGCAGAAGAACAGGATTGTGGTTCAGCCTGCAGCAAACACAGCCTGAAATCATGCATCATTGATCCATCATTGACATCAAACCAACCTATTCAAATTAATCATATTTTTTTCCCTGCTTACCCTACACTGCAAAATCTCAAACTTCAGAGACATTTCAAGCAAAGACAGTTCATTCAAGAGATACAAAGGAAAGTTAACTGACCTGTGACAGAAACTTTCATGGTGGCCTCCAGAGGTCTGTTGTTATCCAGATCTTTGCTGAGTTTGAGCTCTCCGGTATTTGGGTTAAGAATCAGCAAACTTAGCTCATTCCCTTCAATGAAACTATACTTGAGCTTATCTGACACATCTGGGTCATAGGCAGGTACCTTTCCTATAATCCCAGACGGAAAACTGTTGGATTTGTTGGTGACGTAGTTATTGAAGATAATCTCAAAATTCTGCAGGACAGGATCGTTGTCGTTGACATCAATCAGACGAATGTGGACGGTTGCTCTGCTGACCAAAGGTGCGGACGTGGCCTGTACGACTATGACATACTCCATTTTGGTCTCGTAGTCCAAATCCACGAGTGCTTTTAAGTCTCCAGTGAATATATCCAAATCAAAGACCTCCGGGATATTTCCTTCCACAATCTGGTACAATATCTGAGCGTTGGTTCCTTCATCTGGATCCATGGCGTTGATCCGGGCAACCACTGAATCAACAGGACTGTTTTCTTTGATGTAGATAAACAGTTCATCCTTTTCAAAAACAGGAGCATTGTCATTGATGTCCAACACAGAAATCTGGACCTCCACTGCTGCTTTGAGAGGAGGAACTCCTCTGTCTACTGCATAGGCCTTCAGGTTATACACTGGAACGTTCTCTCTGTCCAGCTTCCTTTGTGTTCTTATAATTCCAGAGTATTGCTCAATCATGAAGTCTCCTTCCCCGTCATCGCCACCTTGAAAGGTGTAGCTCACACGCCCATTAGACCCTGAGTCCCTGTCTGAAGCAGATATCTGGAGCACACTTGTGAACACAGGTGCGTCTTCAAACACGGTGCCCTGATATTTGTCCCTCCCAAACTGTGGCGTATTATCATTGGCATCCAGGACAATGATTTCCACATAGGTGGTGTCGGACTTCTGAGGGATTCCATTGTCACGAGCAATGATGGCCAACGTGTAGGAGGCTTGATCTTCGTAGTCTATCTCCATCTGCGTGGTGATGGCACCTGTGTCCGGATCAATCTTGAACTGTGGAACATTGTCCTCCATGATATAGGTAATACGTGCATTCTCACCTGTATCTTCATCTGTGGCACTGATTACCACAACAGTTGATCCAATGGGTCGGTCTTCGCTGAAGGTCTGATGGTAGCTGGCGCTCTGGAACACGGGTCTGTGAGTGTTAGCATCAGTTACATTGATGAACACCTGCGAGGTGTCGAAGCGTGTACCATCCGAGGCGGTGATAGTCAGAACGTACTGGCGTTCCTGTTTGTAATCTAACGGCAGTGCCAGCGTGATGAGTCCACCTCCGCTTTGACTAGTGATGGCAAAGCGGTTCCGCGTATTACCACTGGAGATCTGATAGGTGACCACACTGTTTACATCACGGTCCAGAGCTGTAACAGTTAATACACTGGTCCCTACAACAGCATCTTCGTTGATTTTTAGCGAGTATAGCTTTTCGGTGAACGTAGGGATGTTGTCATTCACATCTAGGACGGTGATGCTAACGCTAGCTGAGGACGACATTACCGGAACACCGTTGTCTCTGGCTTCTACTCCAAAGGTGTAATACTCAGTGGTTTCCCTGTCCAGCTCAGTACTGACTGTTATCCATCCAGTGCTGTTATTGATGGTGAAGGGAAAGCCTGGAGTGGTGTCTGTGAGGCTGTAATCCAAACGAGCATTTTCTCCAGAATCAGAATCAATGGCCTGAATGTGAATCACGGAATATCCAATAGGTACGTTCTCTAAAACGGTGGCTTGGAAAGGAGTGCTTACAAACATAGGAGCATTGTCGTTCACATCCACAACTTGGATGACAACAATGCCTGTTCCGTTAATGAGAGGAGGCCTGCCTCCATCCTGGGCCTTTATGCGCAAGTTATATTCTCGGATCATTTCGTAGTCTAGAGGGTTTATGACATCAATGGCTCCGGTTGGGGTGTGAATGAAGAACTGACCTTTTACATTGCCGCTGATTATGCTGTAATGGACCTTAGCGTTATTGCCCTCGTCTCGGTCAGTGGCTTCTACCTGTGCCACTTTAGTGTTAACGGACACATTTTCTGGCACCTGAACTACATATCTTTTCTCACTGAACTGAGGATAATTGTCGTTTTCATCTTCAACTGTGATGTGCACTGTCGTGGTAGCACTGCGGGGCCCAGGGTCCCTTCCTTGGTCATTGGCCTCTACAATCAGCTGATACTGCGCCATAGTTTCTCTATCTGGACGCACACGAATCTTGACCAGTCCGTTCCGAGAATCAATTTCGAACCCAGAATTAACACCCTCGCCATTCACAATCCTATATATCATGTTTGCATTGGATGGTGCATCTCCATCTGTCGCCCGGACTGTAATCACCTCAAAACCAACTTCCACATTTTCTCGTATCCTTACCCTGTATTCATTCTGTTCAAAAACGGGCCCGTGGTCGTTGGTGTCACTGACTGTAACAGTAAGGTAAGACGTGGTAGTGCGTCGCGGTGCGCCATTATCAGTTGCTGTGACTTTAAAAACGTGCGTGTCTTTAACTTCTCTGTCTAAGGGCTGGACAGTCTCAATGCTGCCGGTTTGAGGGTCTATCCGAAAGAAGTCGTTCGAACGGCTGTCGAATAACGCTTCCATGCCATACTCGATCTTCCCCGCCTCTCCAGGGTCGCTGTCAGTCGCTTTGAGGGTGATGACCCGCGTACCCGCAGGCTCATTCTCTGGCACAGAAACCTGGTAGTTTGGTAACTGAAAAAGAGGCGCTGAATTCACGGCTCGCTTTAGTCTCGGTTTCCACTGATTTGATACGTGTTGCGCAGAATGTAATAATGATGTTTGGACTGAGGCGAATCGCAATTTGAGGCACATAGAAAGGAGCTCACCATTTGAATCGTGGAACGCGCAGCGGATAGTCTCTTTAAGGCGTCTCAAGTCCGTCTCCGAACAGTACGCGTCCTTCACGAGTAAAGTCCCGTTACGCACAAACACATTCAGGTGGTCTGAGGTGCAAGAAGTAATAAAAACACCAGAGTTTCTTGTGAAGACAGGCAAATAGTCCTTAAAACTAAGGAGTAAATCACCCGGAGAAAAGCAGGAAGTTAGTCCTAAATTATAAATGCAATCCACGCTGATATCAGGCTTAGTCACTCTCTTCCTTTTATATTTGAACACGCAATTTCGTCCGTGCACAAACACTTTGAAATGTGCGTTAACTAGTCCTTCGGTTGTTAATGATTGGATTTTAAAATAAAGAGGCAGCGCGCTGTGAGGAGCACGCGCGCAATCCACCTCTCCTTTTAAACGCACTACTCCATCTCTCCAGTCCACTTTAATAAAGTTCCCAATGTACTTGGAAGTTAAAGTCCTGTCTATTTTGTACGTCCAACCTGGTCCCAGTGACAAATTGGTCAAAACAGCTCCAGAACGTAAAGTCTCCGAGAGGTGCAAGTCGAAACATCCCATGAGAGGAGCGCAGAGAAGAAGGTGAACCCATAATAACCAACACATTACAAGATCCATGGTGTAAAACTCCACAAAACATGCAGAAAAACAGGTCAACTCTCCTTCTGCCGGCACGTCGACCTTCTTTTATCCTTCATTGTAGCTTTTTAGCAGGGGAAAACACAGTTTATCAGGCTGGTATCCATGGAACCAAGTGGCATTACCCACGTTAAGTTTTAAATGAGGACAAAATGGCTCCGTGCGTGCGCGTCTCTCCCCAAGCACACACACACACACACACACACACACACAGTCATTAACATAAACCTGCACGCACCTCCTTCTCAGGACTAAAGAATAACTCTCATGGAAATTCAACTATTGTTATTCACATCTGCATGTATTCTTTGGTTCTTTTGGCGACTTTTACGACGCGGCGCGTCAAACTAGAAAAAAAACAATGAAGCTACGAGATTAAAGTTTCACGCAACTCTCCGCATGCAGATTTCTGGACGTAAATGCTTCCATTATAAATAAACGCCGTTTCATTTATTATAAAAGGCGCGTTCTAGTTTTGTTTAGGCTATGGATACAGTTTTCTGCTTTTTGTCTCCTAAAGCGCTACACGTGTTTAAATCGCTGTTTACGAGCGGCTGTAAAGTAATAAATTGTTATCAATACTGGATTCCCTATCTGTTACTCGCTATGAGTAGAGTAAAACTAAATTGTACATGAATAAATTATTTATTCTCTATACAAACCATTACAAAAATACCATGCTAGCCATAATTTACGAAAAATAAATGTTATTAAACAGTGGTAACATAGCTAGTCAGTGAAAATTACGGAAATATTTTGAAACATTTAAGCATTACAATTTGGTTTGGTGCAAAAGAATCATTAAAATGATGTTTTTACTTATCTTTGGAAATAAAAAATAAAAAGCTTGAGTTTTGAGTTCTTATACTTTTTTTATCGTGTATTCATAAAAACGTGTATTACTAACGAATCATTAAAATGATGTTTTTACTTATCTTTGGAAATAAAAAGCTTGAGTTTTGAGTTCTTATACTTTTTTTATCGTGTATTCATAAAAACGTGTATTACTAAAATTGTAAGTGAGAATAAAACTGTTTTATTGGATATAAACGTATATGGGTTCATTTTACCTTCAATTAGTGTCTCTTCAACAGATAAAACGTGCAGAGTCGTGTTCCTAATATAAGACATAAAAAAGCAATGGATTTCTTGTGAAAGAAAATCATGCTCATCTTTGAAAACATTTTTTTTTCTTAAGAAGTTTATCTACAAAAAAATATATAATACTTAATTATATTTACAAAGCAATACACCTACACTCTTAAAAAATAAAGGTTCTTTATTGGCATCGGTGCGGAAGCTTTAACAATCATAGAACTTTTCCAATGCACAAAAGGTTCTTTAAAATGGAAGAAGGTTATACCGAAGTTATTGTAAAGACTGTTCAATGAAAGGTTCTTTATTTTTAAAAGTGTGAAATTTCTCTTATACAGTTTGTTGAACTGGGATGCCATGCATATTTAAAAACACAGATGAGGAATTAAGGCCAATCCTCATATTATAGGCCTAAACATTTTTTATAATATTATCAGAGGTCAATCATTTATTCTCTAAACCCCAATGCCTTAACATATGTTATATTTCAATTGTCTAACTATATATAGTTTAAATATGTTATTTTAGTGCTATGTGTATAACAGCTGTCTTTAATGGAAATTGAGGAAGATGTCCAGAGGCACTAGACCAGGGCCGTCCAAACTCGGTCCTGGAGGGCCGGTGTCCTGCAGAGTTTAGCTCCAACCCTAATTAAACACACCTGTGAACCAGCTAATGGACACCGGCCCTCCAGGACCGAGTTTGGACAGCCCTGCACTAGACATACAGTAAGTGATGCTCTCACGCCCTCTATTGGCAGAGAAAGGAATTCAGTAACAGTACTTAAGAAGAACAACCTGTGAACCTGTAAGCTTAATATTTGTCTGAAAGATTGCATAGGTCAGGATTGTTGCACCATAAAGGCACTATAACCATTTGCATTTATAAAATCTTAAGAAAGAGCAATACCACAATCGCTACGTATATATTTTACAAATAAATTACAATTCCCAAATTAATTACAATTAAGAAAAAATACAGAAAACATACAACTCACATTAAGGATTCCCCCATCCTAAATGTCTGTGAATACTAAGAGCCCCCTAAGTTCTTGTTATTGTCCCTTACATAAAACACAAGAGGTGTGCTGGTTTGTGCTGCATGCGTGCGTCTCAGCTGACAGGCTCTGGATGTTGTTGGTTTGTGTCTTTAGGCGGGCAGCTCAGGCAGTTTTGACCTTTCTGAAGAGTGAATTGTGTGGGTCCCAGACGAATGATCTTCCCACTGCCCAAACACTCATCTCCCTTATATAGGACAGCAAACTGCAGTGCAAACACAATGTAGTCAGGTTCTATGTGTAGCTTTCTATGTGTATAAAGCAAGAAGTCACAGAAGGTCATACTACCTGATTTTAACACAGTAATACAGTTCATTAATCTAACTATAGGCTGTTTACATTTGCCAATCAACCTAGCAAGCTTGAAATGTGCATCTGAACTTTTTTGTTTTATAATATCACTTAAGATGTCATCGCATTTGTTGCTCAGCCAGCTGATGGTTTTTGTAAAACAAACAAAAAAAGGACTACAGTCTATTATTTATAGATAATATGTCATAGTGATGGAAGACAGGAGTTGAATACATCTAGTAAAAGGTTTCTGAAAGTCCCATTTTTCCCCCAAAGTCTAGTGTAAATGATTTATAATGACACATCAGGAATTGAGTTAAACATCCGAGATACTTTCTTCAGCGGTGTAGATATTTCTGGATTACCTGCCCAGGTGTCAATGCTCTTATTGGCTCTTTCAACATTACCCACACTGACCCGTCTAGATTCAAGGTTACAGTGCATGGAGCTGAAAGAAACGAGATGTTGCAACAGGACAATTCTGTAGACTAGTCTTATTATTGTTAACTAAAACTGAAAATAAAACTATGAAACTATTATTAAATAAAACTATTCAAAAAAATGTTCTCAAAATAAATATTACACTTAAAAAAAATAACATTTTGACAGTTGAATTTTAGTATTTTTGAATTTTAGTTTCGGAAATAAAAATAAAGCTAAACAGAAATACAATAAAACAATTAATTAAAGTGACAAAAACACTACAACTAAATTAAAATGAAAATTAATGCTAATTCAAAATTGTAATCAAATCTTATAATAATATATAAATAATTCTAAAATAACACTATAATAGACAAAACAGAGAAAAATATTGGCTGCTGGTTATTACTTAAGTAACTTTTTCAGCTGACCTGTTTTCTAACAATTTCCAGCAAAAACAAAGAGAACTCACTTAAAGGCATCCGGTTAATGAAACGGAAGAGACATTCCATCATCTGAGTTCGGACAAGTTCAACAGGTGGGTCTTCGGCTATCCAATGGAAGCGGTCTGTCTGTATCGTGTCTCGGAACAGTGCTGGGTGGTTAGTGGTTGGACCCTACAACAGATGCCATATTTTAGGAATCAATCGACCTGAAAAGTCATTTGTGGCCTTTTTTTAGTTCAATAAATTAAGTAACTCACCAGAAATACATCACCAGTTGTGATATCTTTATCAACTACAAACCAAGGATCTACCTGTCCTCCTATTCTAGCCCTCTGACCCAGTGTTAATGTGAACCAGCCTGTGGCGAAATACAGTAATCAGTCTTACAGTATCACAGACACCATGGAGGAGAATATGAACAATTATTAAATTAATAGCCACCTTTATGCTGCCCCATGATCTTCCCATCTTCAACGGAGACAAAGTTTCCCGGTTTGGGCTCTATGTACTTTAATAAATTTGACATAGACTTGAAACAGTACTAAATTAAGAGACTGCAGTATATATTGAATAATGGCAATGACCAAAACACAGTCTGAAAATCAGCTTTTTAAAAAAATGTTGATTGATTATATGATGTTTGGCCATTTTTGCAACCCTGTTGCCAAAATGTGGAATACAGTTTATATATCCGAGCTTTACATTTTAAAAACATATAAATAAAATATCAGAATAGGTAACAGGGTTGCAAATTGAACCTATAGGTAGGGATGGATAGTTTAGGGCCAAATGTTGGTTTGTTATTTATGATCTAAGGCCCTGTCCACACGAACGCGGTTATTTTTAAAACCGCATCTTTTTGCTACGCGGTTTGGCCGTTCGTCCACACACAAACGCAGCACCAGGTCACTGAAACCGAACATTTTTGTAAACTCCTGACAGGGTGAAGATTTTCAAAAACTCCGGTTGCAGTGTTTATCGTGTAGACAGCGAAACGTCTACGGATGGGCGTATCGATCCAAAGTATCAATATACCGATACTGACGCGAGTATCAAAAGTATCGATACTCAAACAAAAAATATCGATAGTAAGGTGTGTTTTATTTACCAGTGATTTTGTTAATTTAACAA